AATATTATTTCCTGACGATGCAAAAATCTAGAGGTCATTCTGTACAACTACCCTTCACGAGGTAAAACAAATGGCTATAACGTAAACAAATATTTCACCTAAGAAGCTAAAATTGCACAAAAGTTCGGGACTTGTAGAATATGGCATGTAAAATTTCATCAAAATCCATGATCGTCGAATAGGGCACTTTTCCAAAATTAGCTTGAAATTATCCTTTTATATTTACAAATTAACTTTTTACTTCACATGTTCAAAAAAGGAATTTTAACTAAAAGTATAACGAAATATCGAAAAGTGTGTCAGGTAAAGAATACATTATTATCTTTTATTTAAAATAATAAATAATAAAAGGATCAGACCAGGAGTTGCAGAGATACTGGTGTCAACATTATGTCATTCACCACCTTTAATGGTGACTCAGCTCAGCATCATGAGGATTACATTGCTCTTTTAAATACTCTAAGATGTCATAATTAAGAATCATAAAAGAAACCGCGTCCAATCAGGATAGGCGTGCGCATCCTGAAACAAGGAAGATCTGTTTCTGTGGCTCAGGCAGCTAATGTCACTAAATTGCCTCTGACTGGGAGGTCCTAGGGTTCGAGTCCCGACGGAGGCAGGATTTTCAACACTGAGTGGATAGCTAGGTCGATTTCAGCCGCTGTCTGGAGGAGAATTCAAACGACCGGCTGCAGTTATCGGTAATTTTCCGCGGTTGCTCCGATGAACACCAGGCCAATGCCGGAGCACTTCCCTAACAAACTCCACGCGTCCACGCGTGATTTTTCATCCATTATTTTTGCATTATCCCCACCCCTTACTTACATACTTACCCTCACATGCACTACTCTATCACACATGCCAAGAGACCGGTTGGAATCTTCGAGCTTTTCCAGGCTGGGTCGGAACCACGCTAGTGGGAAATACCTGTTTGGGGAAAACCCCGCAAGCCGAGAGGTAGATCGGTGCTGGATCTCTAAATCCAGGGAGGCAATATCACCGCTACATCCCACGATAAAAACATGCACTGCACTTACGGATCTAATGATCTTAGCAGTTGACGCGTTCCAAAGCAGTAATCAAAGGACCAAGCTCCTTTTTGCACCACCTATTCCATCATTTTTTTCCACACGATACGTATTACTAGTAAATGACTGAGACATACTTTGGGAGAATTAAAATATAACTTCTCGCAAAATTAATCGATACAACTACTGATTTTATAATGAGACATTTAACTGTTGCTACATGGCTTAGAGAGCCACTTCTCTAAAGGTAAAACGATCCCCCAAATTGTCACATATAAAAGAAAAAATAAGGAATTGAACATATTCACAGAAATAAAACATTATTACGTGGGGCTACGCGACATCTTTTAAAATTTTCACGGTCCCCTTGGCCCTTCCTGCCTGCTTCTCCATCACGGAGAAGAGCCACTGCGGAGAGCAAACACGTGAAGAGCGCGAATTCGATAACTCGTAATCCAAAGCAAGTAATGAAGAAAAGTTTTCACAAAACTTTAGTTTATTATTGGTCTACTTACCAAGGATATTTTTATTTAAATGAGAAACTTCTGTACACAGCTATTAAGTTACGTAATTTAAAACAAAACATTTGCGATATATGCTGCAAAGATAATTATTTATCCTGTAAAGTGGGTATGAAACATTTAGGAATTGTACAATGTGTGCTGTATTTCTGGCAGAATGAGGTTACACAATTTTCACTCTTTTAAGACAGTTTTATGTATTTCAGATTCTGTCGTAGGGATGGTTCCTTTAAACTGTGCCCCTGCTACTTCTTCTTGCCAATGGAATTTATCAGGTTCGTGGGGTGTTGTTCCAATAAACACTACTGCTGATCAAAACTTCACAGTGGATATTGGAGATGAGGAAGCACGAGGTAAGTAAGCCCAGGAGAGGATTCAGTGAAAGTTATAAAAAGCTACAAAATATCAATGTGGATGTTTTAACGGAAAGTTTTAGAGATTACTGAATCTGCAAAAGTATATCTTTCAAAACGTATGTCCACCTGTACAAAAATGTTCATTACCAAAAGAAAATGGTCGGTCCCAAAGCCAAACAGAGTTCTTACGTACGAGTATGTATGTGATATAAATGAAAGGGAGAGCTAGTAGTTTTCATTGCAACGTAATTTCTTTCTCAGCGTATAGGCCACCTCTATTCTGCAGTCATAAAAATGTGGATTTGTGCGCCCACACCATAAGCAGTGTGGGCGCTAAATTTTCATAATGTCAAATCCCCTTGATACGCATTTGTTCGACTACAGGTGCCCACCAACCAGTGGTCTGTGTATATATTTATATTATTATATAATCATTAAATTACTAAAGAAGTATAACGAATATTGTATATTCAGATTAGTGATTCAGAGGGTGCCAAAAATGTATACACAATTTAATTAAATAAAAAAGTTTTAACATAAAACTGATATCATAGAAACAGAAAATTATTATTATTAATCATCTTAAGTTTTACATGTACAACCGTTTCAATGAATGCTCTAAATCCCCACTATGGGCGTCGATGCACTTCTGAGTAGTTGAACTACTGTTCGAGCAACGAGAAAGATGATCTCTCTGCAAGGTTGTCAATTATTAATGTTACATTTTGCACCGACTCCACAGTCGTCCTATATTGGATAAAATCTCCCCTTCTTAAAGGTAATATCTTTGTGCGAAACAGAGCGCAGGTCATTAATGAAATTACTGCTAGATACACGTGGAGACATGTCAGCACTACTTCAAATCCTGCGGATTTACTTACTAGACGAGTCCCTCTCAAAGACCTTCCCGACACCAAAGTAAGGTGGGATGATCCTGAGTTTCTTTCACGCCAGCCAGAACACTGTCCAAAGACCCATGAGGCCATTGTACTCCCTCTCACCACGGTGCTAGTGTGTGCCACGACGCCTCCTAGCCACCTACAACTTAGAATCTGCCAATTTTATGGCTCATTTACAAAATTACTGAGAGTCATGGCGTACGTTCTTAGATTTATTGATCTAGTCTTCCCTTCTAAGACTAGGGGGTGCGACAGTGTGTCGCCAACAGATCAGAATTGAGTAGGGTCAAGGTCAAAATCCATGGTGAATATTTTGTCACATTAACAGGTTGTGTCCCTTGCCTGTGGCAATGTGGACAGCCACTGATGTGCATATTTATTCCACCTAGATTTAGCGTAACATAAGTTTATTTTAGGCAGGTTAGGTTGTCGCTAGTCCCTATATTTAAGGTTAAATTTAAGCTCAGTCATATGTTTATTAGTTTCTAGGTTGTTAGTTCTAATTGACTTGTGTTGTAATTATGAATTGTAATTATTGCAATTGTGTCACTCCACTTCTTTGCTCACACATCCTGGGGTTAGGCCAGCCCCGCTCGGCATCTGACTCGTAACTTATGTTCAGTTGAAAGTCGGTCTCTCTCGGTTGTGCATTACTTTGTCTCTCCCACGCATTCCCGTATCGGGCTCGTCATTTTTTGTGCAGGTCTTCTCTTTAGCGAGTAGCGTAAAGCTTCACGCATCTTAAAGCTAACAGCGAGGAATTTGAAAGAAAATTACCTTATCCCCGCTCATAGAGCGATTTAAGTGAATGTGCATGCTCGGTGAAGGTAAGCCTAGGCAACTTAGAAACACGTGGACATAAAAGAGTACTGTGTCATACGAGTGTTTAGCATCACAGGCGTGTAAGCTTCAAGCAACTTCTGCGCAGATTTTGTCTTGTCCGCTTCGGTTGTCGTGTTTTTTTGTCTCTCCACTCATCTTTCAAGGCTCTAACTTGTCATAATCGGCACTTGTCCTCTTACCTGTGTTCAGCTCATGACTCGTCACCCTCGTTTGATCTGTTCTTCGTCTCTGTGACCGCGTTTCACTGCTGACTTGTCATCCTCAGCATTATGTTCAGGCTTGGCCAGTCAGTCTGTTCTGCGTGACTGTCACCTTCACTGATAATCTCATCTCCCATTGTAAATTTAATATTTTATTAATTATTCAGGATCACTAATATTAGTTTATTTTTTACCATTTCCTTACATATAAAAATTATTTTGCACAACACGGTTATTCCTACTCATATGCCATCCTCAAATCTTATGTTGCATATATTTACTGTATATAGCCTTATGCTGTAGTGCCCCCCCTTTTTGTGTGGAAAGCTGACGCTCCCCAAAGGGGCGGTGTTCGGCCCCACAGCGAAGAAGAATAAATATAATTTTATTTCATACGACGCAAGCCAAAACAGTTGATCTGTAACCTCAACAGCGTCAGACCATTGCATCGACAAGGCCACGCCACCGAAAACCGCCCACGGCTTTCCCAGAAACACACGTGCAAGCCTCGCCTCCCTCCGCCCGTTAGCAGTTTGCAACGGACGGAACGCTCCAGAACGTTCTGTCGTTAAATTCAAATGGCTAGTTGTCATTGGCCACAGCCATCCTCTCCCCTTGAGTGCAAGAAAACTGGTGATCTGACGATGCTCCCGTCGTTAAACCGCCAATGTAGTTCCGCACAAGCAGCGTGCGAAGCCACACGTGTGGTCCGTGTTGATGGGCACCGTGTGTAATTAACATACGTGAAAGTCTTACTGTCCACCCTCGGGTTGTTCCCAGTTGGTAGTGCAACTGTAAAGTGTACTGCTCGTGTAGTGTACGTTATCTGCATCAGACCATTTGGACGTTCAGTTCATTGTGCAATCTCAGGCTGTTCCCTGTTAGCACGCGCAAAGTATCATTCAATTTCTGCGAAGTAGGGCTCCACTCAATTTGTGTGCTTCAATAAATTCCACCTATGCTGTCTGTGTAATGTAAGTTGCACTAGACCCCCTAGCATCAGGAAATTTACTAGTAATGTGCTCCAGCTATCATGTACTGCAATGTTGTAACTGAGCTATGTAATCAAGTGTTTAATTGCAGTGATTATTAAATGTAGTTTTGCAAGAACTTATTTTGTGTCATTCCAGAATTCCTACATAAATCCTCTCTGAGCTATCAAAGAGATTCGGGTCTGCTGGACTCCGTCTTCACCTCATCAATACAGTCCACTTCAAAACATCCAGAATCAAGCGCATATGTCCGAACACTTACTTTGCATCTACAGAGTGCAGCTACACTCTTCAACGGAGTGAGCTTTACATAATTTCATTTCCTTAGAAAATCTAGAGATAAATGTGAACATAATTAGAAATCTATCTTTTAAATCCTTTATTATATGTAAAGATTTCGATATTGATTTTCTGAGCGCATCCCACGAAAAAGAGCAGTTTCTCAATTATCTGCATTCTTTTATTTTATTTATTACAGTGAATATACTTACACGGAATACATTTTATCACAAAAAGCAACAAGTCAAATTATAATTTAAAATAACTATATATAAACAACTAGTAATCTAAGTTACAGCGACCAAGATGAACAAACAGTTACTAATAACATGGACGCTGACACAATAAATAATGCATGCGTGTGCACAGCATTGACTAAAGATAACATAAATATATTTACAGACTATTTGCAGAAGGAATCATGGGATACAGTTTATATCGCTGTTGACACAAATGAAAAATATAATATATTTTTCTCAAAACTTTCAGTTCACTTTAGCGCATGCCTTCCTCTCAAAAAGAGAAAATTAAACATTTCACGGAAAGATAATACTTGGATCACGCAAGGAATTCGAACATCGTGTAAAAACAAACGTATTCTTTACTTTATTTCTGAACATCATAACGTATCACCCGGTTTCCAAGTCTACTTCCGAGAATACAAAAGAATTTTAAGGAAAGTAATAGTTCAGGTAAAAATATTGAAAACTAATCAGGATATTTTGAATGCTAGTAACAAAACTAAAACAATGCGAAATATTGTAAAATGTATGACATCATCTCGATATTTTATACAGAATGTTGTGTAAAGGATAATAAAAGAGAAGCAAGTAATCCAGAAAAAGTAATAAATCTCTTCAGCAAATTCTTTCTAGAATTGCGGCAGAACTTACGAAGGTGCTAAAACCACAAAATTCAACATCATACGCTTCCCAAGAAATTTGCGACACTATGTTTATTTTCAAATGTTCTTCTAATGAACTCTTGAGAATAGTCAGTGAACTAAAAAAATAGATATTCATCTGGTTTAGATGAATTTCCGCATTGTTTATAGAAAACGGGATATTTCCAGATGTTTTTAAAACAGCAAAAATTAAGCCATTTTTTAAAAGAAGGGAACCAAAACTAAATTCAAAATTACCGGCCTTTTTCTCTTTTGTCAGTTTTCTCAAAAATATCAGGTAGACTTTTCTACACGCGAATGGAAACATTTTTCAGGAAAAAGAAAGCGTTTTCAGACTCGCAAGACAGTTCACACAAAATCTACGGAAACTGCCATTTTTTTCTTTTCTTAAAGATATTGCTTCGTCAATGGACCAAAATGAAGCACCCACTAGAATATATTTAGATATTTTGAAAGCTTTTGATGTTGTTGACCATAACATCTTGCTATCAAAATTACCTTCTCGTGGTATTGTCCTAGATTGGATAACCTCTTACCTTAAACATCGATCTCAAATAGTAGAAATACCGTACTGGCACGAAAGGACAGATTTCGATTCTTTACCAATTGAATGTGGGGCCTGCAAGGTGAAATCTTAGGTTCTATTCTCTTTCTCTTATACATAAACGATATACCCTCGTAAACAAAAATCGGAAGAACGGTTCTGCTTACCGATAACACGAATGTTCTGTGCAAAAGAGAAACAACGAATAGTACGATTTCAGAAGTTTCAAACTGGTTTTGTAATAATAAATTAATAGTTAATGAAGGAAAACCCGTTTCAATGCATTTTTGTATTTTAAAGCAGCAGTCGCATGCTCAATTGAATATTAACAATATGCAATTATCTGATGTTAAGGTAACAAACTTTCTAGGTCTCTCAATTCAGTCAAACCTGAAATAGAATGTGTGTATATATATATATATATATATATATATATATATATATATATATATATATATAACAGAATTAAACACAAAATTAAGTTCATTATGTTACACATGCAGAATTCTTTTAAATTCTGTCAGCCTTCATGCAGTTCGTTGCGTGTATTTTGCAAACACGCATACCTGTCTGAGATATGGCTTTATATTCTGGGGAAGTTCATCATGTAGTACCCAGACCTTAAGATTTCGAAAGAAAATTATTAGTACAATGAAAAAATTTGTAAAATCACATTTAAATTTATAGATGTTCGTTTCATTTCTAAAAGTAAGAAACGACTACTCTTTCTGTCAATGGAAATAATTGCAAATCAACAGAGGATATTGTGACGTCATGGATACTCACAGCGACCACAGACACAGAGCTTTCATATAAGAAATATATTTATTAACAGAGAGGTTGAAACAAATACACATTAATGAATCATTATATGTTAATACACATCCTAAGCTCTGATAGACCTACTATCCCCTGATCGCGGAAGCGATCCAAACCAGATTGAAGATGGTTTTGATTGTGGCATTCGCCACTCCTACTTTTGAGCGCGCACAAAGCTAGCTTCCGTGATCGATGTCACGCTGGACACAAAGTGCCGTTCTGGCGCACAACGGTGGTTGTGCTCTGATCGCAGGAGCGATCTTATCCGATTGAGAATCGGCGTGAATCGTGGCACCAACCATTTCACCTCGGACACGCACAAGACGCATCGCTCCCTGTGACCGCAGTCACCAAGGACCTTAAGTCCGCAGGCTCGTCAACTAGTGATCGCCTGGCTCGCATTGCATGCAGACCGTCGTGGGCCAAGTTTGTACACACGCAAGGTTCTCCACTGCTCAGAACCCACCACTGGCTCTGTACAACTGTTATATAGGGAGGCCCACGTGACCTACTACGTCAGCACCGCGCTGCTTGTTATAAAGTGAAAAGCTTCTATAAGCGGAAGACGCCAAAACCTTGTGTCTCCGTTTCGCGTTCATGCCTTTACGGAAAAACCCTTCTCCTGTGGCGAGAGCTAATCCTGCCAAGCGTCTCAAACATAGAGATGCCACGAGGCACGCTGGCTAATACGTTACAATATTCGTTTGATTTAGACTTTTTCACGTTATAACTAAGGTTTTTGTATGGCGGAAGTTACAATATTTTAATATTACCTAACTATTTTCAATCATGCGAGAAAGTATGTGCTGTTGTATAACTTCTAGTTACTTTCTCGCGTACTCCATATGCAGTATATTTTAAGGTTCAAATATTCATCGGATAAGTTCGTGAATGCACCTTAATATACTGAATAGAATTCAATACCCAATTCAATATTGTCATTTAAATTTTGGGAAAAACAAATCTAATTTTCAGGCTTCGTTTATATACAATTGTTCAGGCGGCGAAATAAAGTCGAAGAAAAGTTGGGAAAGCATTTTAATAGAAGCTTCAACGAAACATCACCTCTTCTATCAGTAGTTTTTTGTCAGACAAGAGTGTTCTGGAAAAGAGACGACACACAATTGACAAAGATTGTTACTTGGAGAAAGAAATAACGAGTATTGAAGAATTTGTCAGTTACCTTTATCCAAACAAAAATTAAACCTTTCCTTACGAATTTCGTGGTTTTTGTGTCATGTTTCTACTGCATCCAGTGCCTGGCACACCCTGGATCGAACCTTGAAGACGTTCAAAACGCTTTTACTTAGCTTTCCGCATTAGCTTGTGGTGACAATGCGAGCAGGCGTCTGATATAGAAAATCAGTGATTCCTAGTATTTCGACAAAGCCGATTTTACGTGGGGCTGCCCAGGAGCTGGTGCGATCTTTCAGTGACGCTCCGAACTAATAGAAAGCAGTTGACAATCGACTTCAAGGAACTTTGTACGAAGAAATGAATGTTTGATCGACAGAGAAGAAATTTTGGGGAAAATTAAGACTATCTTGGAGGCGCCAAGTTTGAAATGTATAATCCTTTTCTCTGAAACGCCTTCAAAGAACATCAAACGCTCTGTTAAAAAAACAAGGTTCCAAATTTGTAGTAATTTGGCCGGCAATGTGCCAACAACAATATAGTGATATTTGAAGTGTAAGAAAAGGAGAAATTGAGACATAAAATTGCATAACAGTAACATTTTTATACAGCGAGAAAGTAGACACTAGTATTTCAATTGAAGAATTTGAAAATGAAGCATACGTATTGATGTTACAATTTACTGAACAACATTGATTAATACTTCGAACAAATCATAGTTGGGAGCTGTGGGGTCCACAGTCCCCCCTTGATAGTAGTACCCAAGTTAACAAGCAGGGCGTCATTGGCTGCACGGTACGTCTTCTATTTCGAACAACTGCACTCCAATTAAGATAGACTCACTTCTGACATCTGCGTTGACATGATTATCCAAACTCAGGTTTCAGTTCCAAACATTTAAGTCATAGCGAAGCATCCGTAGGCAATGTGTTCACCTGATGAACCGTCAGAAGACACTTTTCAATCGAAACACAACTACACATTTAAGGTATTTTTCTTCGTACAATATTTCCTAATAAAGGATCTTTAAATAAGGTAGAATTTTTCGAGAAAAGAGTATGTTCGCCTACTTTATGCTTGACGGCTCCAAGTTTTTTCTTTACATTTTTCTCAAATAGACTAAAGTATGCATATAACTAGTGGTGCGAATGAATGGCACAGACTCTCGTATTAGTTTTCTATTTCCTTTGGTCTCGGCTAGCTATTCGAAATTGCCACATACTCTTGCCTCCTGCCATCTATCACCACCCAAAGAACATTTTTTGACATTTTCTTAATTTTTCGGATTCCTCAAAGTAGAATGGAAATATTATTGTAAGAATATTAAAGAACAATAAAACCTCGTCGTAATTAGCAATTTTCTTTGAAAAATTTGGAGCAGTTTTTGAGAAACTATTAGTTAAGCGCACCTGTAAATTCGAAATTTGATCCTCTTTTCACAAAACAATATTGAGTTTCGAAAAACTTCATAGTTCGTCATTTCAAACACTTCCAGTCACAAATGCAATAGTGTTTACAATAGCTGGAAATATACATATTAAGGACATGATATATTTATCAAAAACATTACATTTGTATAGTTTAAAAAAATCAAAAGAAGATAGTAAAATTAATTCTGTCATCTTAAACAGTTAAATTACCACTATCTGTTAAAAAAGTTTGAAGGGAAAACGTTGAGATTATCCGTTTAAGTAAATGGACAAAAATTTCATAGCATGGATAATGGCTTTAGACAGCTAGATAATCGTTCTACGCGTTGACCACGCTGTGCTGTCAAACTTTTGCTCTCCCCGCAGAGCTGCCTGCTCCCCACTATTTGCACTTCCAGCGCTCTCGCGGGCAGACGGACGGCTCTTGAGTGCAGAAAGCCTGCGGAAGTAGGCGTTGTGAAGGCCTGTTCTAAACTGATCCAACTTTGTTCGCTACTTTTAATTAAAATAAAATTTATATATATGAGAGCACGATAATAGGGGATATAGTATGAGGGTAGATAATCAGTTAATATTCGGAGAATCACTATATATATGCTATGAATTATATACGAATGACATGAATGCATTGTGTTGTTGACTTGTGCGAGCTTAAAATGATTTTGCACCTCCGCTTTTCTCTACCATGTATATATTCAATATAATGTGAAAATTTTGGGAGAATACTACACAGGGTGTTTCGGCCTTACTTGATTATCCTTTAATACAAAATTCACTATTACATGTTCTAAATTCATCTACTTGAATTACATTTTATGGACGTTTTTAAGCTTGGTGGCTCGTTGGTTAGCAATCTCGCTTTCCATGGCGCAACCCCAGGTTCCATTCCCGGCCGGGGCAAAATTATGTCTGTCCGCTTTCCGTACAAATGTCCCATTATGTATTGCTGTGAGACGATGACAAAGCCCACCCCAATGTCAAGAAGACAAATATAGACGATGGAGGGATGTCTGTGCTAACCGCTCAAAGCCCTTATCGCGTGGCCAAGGCCGCTGGTCGGCCAAAGCCCGTATCGGGCAGTCGAACGAAAGGACAGGACAGGACAGGACAGGCAATTTTTAAGAGTTAACCTGTTAGCTATCTGTTACGGTGCCGGCACAATACAACTGGGTGTGCGATGTCTCAGCCTATCGATGACAGTCAAAAAGTATCCTTTCGGGAAAATAGTTTTTTATAGTTTAGAAAGCTTGTCATGTGTTCTTTTTCTCTTCCCATTTTTATTATTGTTCTTCTTTCTTTTAAACATCTTCTATTTTTATATTTTGATGTTATCAGTTTTTTTGGCTCATTTTCGCTTCTTTTATTTCAGTTTTCTTATTGCTTCCAGTTTGAAAAGGGGGTAGGGGTCAGACGATGATATCAGCACCAAGCCTTATACAAATCAAAATATAAACAAAAGAAAAGATCGCAGAAAAATACGAGTGTTCCCCTTAATAAAAAGCACGCATTAGTGGTTAGGATTAAGTTAACAAACAAGAAATTTCTATGACTTTTCATTACTTTTGGGGTATAATATACCTAAGGAGAAAGTATGTAAAAGTGATATTTTGTTCTTATTGTATTACATTTATGATTTCACTTCCTTTTTTCCATTGCACGTTACAGATAAAAACAGATGTTTGAAGAATGATTGCAAGTTCATTTTTATTGAAAACGGGCGACCCAAATGTTCTTGCCCAATCATTACAAGCAGTCAGCAGCAACCAAGTGGCGTCGGTTTTCCAGTAGGTTCAGAATATCAACTTATAAGAACTCCGATGTTATTGCAAGACAGAGGTTACACCAAAAAGTTTCTCGTGATTCCTCCCAAGAATGGCAAAATATTTGTAGTAAGTATCTCACAATGCATTTTAAATGATGGTTATTAAAAGTGATCTTGTTAAGTACTTAAAGGAAAATTAAGAGATTGAGATTGATAGATTCACTCCCATTTACAATTTAAGGTGTAGGTAAGGGTAGGTTAAGGTAAGGTGTTATGATTACGGCCACACAGTATAAATGAATAGTTGAATGAAGAGATAATTACCTACTATATCGCGGAACAGATGTCTCCAATCTTTTTCAACTGCGGTCAAATTTTTTAATTTATTATTATGTATTAATTATGTATTAATGCCTTATTCAATTATCAAATAAACGTAAGTATGACTATTTCCAGAATTTGCTCGTTTTTTAGCAACACAAATTTATTATGAGAATATTTTTACCTTCATTATAATCCCAAGTTTTAAATATTGAAACATAAAATAAACCAATTACGAACAGAATAGATCTAGCGGGTTTTAAAACGGCTTATTTTATGACACTTCATATGTATGACCGACGTGAATCTTAGTATAAATATTAAAATCTAATTTGCCGTTTCGAACTGCATGTTTGTCAATATTTCTTTCTTCATAGTTTTTTTATGTTAAGATTAATTTCAAGATTCACTTAAAATACTCTCTTAACAATCAAGCGCCATATTTAGATATTACCAACTTCTTTGAGAATGTACTTTCATTTGTACTGTATAGTATCTGTACAGTGTCGTACTGTAACCGTTCACGTATTCACGTTTGTGAAATACTTAGCTGTCCACTGAAATGAAGATAACTAATTTGCATGGTGATTGACACAGCCAGCATAGTAATGAACAGATCAGCGTAGTAGATTCGATATCTCGATCAACCTGAACGCACCGCTTCAATGATTTGCTATAGTTGGTCAGTCCATTTTATCAGAGGCCGTTGGAAGAACAGGACGCTTTCGGTAACAGAGGAGGCGAGGGATCTGGAATCTGTTACACTCTATTGTGACCGATCACGTATTCCCATTCGCCCTTCACCCCAAAATAGATAACTATTGGTTTATGCAGTGTTTGACACTGGCAGCATTGAACAATGTATTAAGGCTAAATGTCCCAACACTAGTACAATTTGTGGCCAACACGTGGCAGCACCAAAATAAGTAAAATTTACTTTACCGATAACGTCTGAACCAATGGTTCGATTTT